TTTTTAGTGGAGCTCTCCATCATGCCTCTTAAGGGTGTGATTTTTTAGTGGAGCTCTCCATCATGCCTCTTAAGGGTATGATTATGGAGCGTGAAAAGACCCCCTATATGGTGTCCTAGGGGAGTCATTAGTAGTCCTCCTGTACTTTTCAAATCTGAAAGCCTGTATATATAGCAATTGAAATCCAAGGTGTGAAAAGTAGTGCATTGTATTAAGCCGGCCTTAGGTCGGGTTGCAACTCACTGCGACTGAGTGCTTAGGTCGATGGCGACACGACTGACAGCAACTGCCTGCGACTGGTCACAGGCAGTCGCAGAAGGCGCTTAGGTCGAAGCGACGATCGCCTATAGATCGCGCAACTAAATTTATGAGTTTACATAACTTGTTGCTGTGTGCATGTTGTGTTCATGACTGTATGCACTGATTGTTTTATTCACATGCATTGTTTATTATGCATACGAATCTTATCGCAGTGATCGCAAGGCAGCTTATGTCGAGTAGTAACCATGAAAAACAATGCTTGCGACCGGTGGAACTAGTCACGTCGCGTCGCAAAAGTAGAACATGTGCGACTCGCTGCGACTTACAATTTTCCAGTCGCTGAGCGTCGCAGACCCGTCACTGGCAGTCGCAGGGGTGCTTAGGTCGAACTTTGCAGGGGTGCAGGGGTGCAGGGGTGCTGCGACTTGCAATCAGTCGCGGAAAATCAGTCGCAAGGCAATCGCGTCGCGTCGCAAGCCCGACCTAAGCCTGGCTTTAGATGTGACGCGTAGTGTTTAGCAAGTTGCCAATTTTGATTAGTAAAATTATAGGCAAAGACATGCAGATCAAAGAGCCTCCTCCGGGTTTGAACAGCAAATTTGCAGGTCAAGTTCAAGGCCTGTATTTACTAGTAAGGACACCGAGAAATGCACATAAAACTTCCGCTATATATGAAATTAGCTAATAATAGCACCGCTGTTTACATACATGTGCTATTTTGTAGCGGGCATACAAGCAAGCATACAAGCATTGCACTGATCATAATGTAAATAAGCATGAACTGATTATCCGTTTGCCCTTGAAATGTACTATCATTTATATATATAGAGTTCCATATTTCGGCCATATGTTCCATATGACCAAGTGTAGCAAAAAGAAATTCCTCTTAGCATTGATATATTAGACACTGTGTTTGTGGTCAGAGGCGTTGATAGGTTTTGTTAGGTTTATAACATGAATTATAACAGACGTTAAAATTGTCATGCTACAAGTTTGTATAATGTGCAAAAATACAATTTTAAACATGGATGCGTAATATTAACCTAGTTCAGTAAGCTTGGTTAAGTATACTACTAATTGTTATGATCATTATATTACTACCGCTAGAGTGACACAAGGTTTATCCACATGGGATGTATGTATGTGTGCACAATGTGCATTTGTAATAATATTACACATACATGTACATCAGGAGTAGATAAAGGGAACTTCCCTTTATCTACTCCTGATGTACATACATATGTGGCATAAGTTCGCATACATGTAGCAAATTATCAAATAGGTGGTCTTTTTCCTCAACATTTAATAGTAGTGAGTCGTTCCGTTTCTAGGAATGCGATACCTATTTTCTTCGTCAACTACCTTAAAATATCCTGATCATTTTACTGGGCAGCTATTTTAAGAAACATGCACACTGTTTTCTTGCTGTGGCTGCAGCATCCTTCCTGCAGCGATCCTGGCTGCAGACTTGCCGACTCAGTGTTTTGCCTCAGCCACAGCCTCTGTAACCCACTGTTGGCGTACACGCATCAGCTCAGCCGCAGTCAATAATACTACTTGTAATAAGTTGGGTGAGATGGATAGCACAATGCAAAAGCTGTTATGTCTCGAAATTTGTGTAAATTCATTTCAGTAACGTGATTGTGTTACTTTACTCCGCACGAAACCCTTCCTATCTAGGCTACAGTTATTGCATAAATTATACATCAACGCATTTGAACATTGTGCATAATTGTGCATCTACCAACATTTATTATTATCGTTCTTACATAGTTTGTGCTTCACTTAAAAGTTATCAACTTGAATAATTTCTAAATTGCAGATATCCACGTAGGGTATACTATAGTAAGTAGCGAGAGTACAGTCTTATTGTATTGCATTTTGTGGATGGATTATTATCAGTAAACTCCTTCAGGGCTTCTCTACCTGTTCCTGCTTGTGGAGCTGAACTGAAGCTGTAGACATGCACGCGTTTCACCTTCAACATGACCATGTGAATCGGGGGCAGCCCTATAGACCGAAGGTCCGATAGACCGAATGTTGCAAAGGGTTAGAGTTAGGATTAGAGTTAGGGTTAGGGTTAAGGTTAGGGCATATATATATGGTTTATAGTGGCATCGGTGGATGTGCGGCCTATTCACGTTTGAATACGGCATCAGTGGATGTCCGGATGCGTAGCCTGGAGGCTAGGCGACCGATTCCGGACGTGTAGCCACTGCGTATTCGAATAAACCTTCGGTCTATCGGGCCTTCGGTCTAGAGATATCGGGCTGTAACCTGTGTATCATAGATTAGTTACTGGCTTACTGCTCATTCGTACTAATTGCGTGCTTTATATTGACAGTATTCCAGCTTTCTTGTGGGCATGTGTAGGCTCCTGAGCAGCCTGTATAAGATATGAAGGTAAAACAATTATTGTAATTTGAAGTGACATCGTACGTTGTGTGACTGTAGCACAAGGCTGTAGACAGTGCCAGTCCATACATATATATGCTAATATTCAAGGCCTTTCGAATATAATTATAATATAAGGTGGCCTTTATGGATCTAATTAAAAAAAAGAAGTAACAAACCACAGTATGAGGTGGTGATGGAGTTTGCAGACGCTCGTTTTTAGGACATTCTAGTGCGCGTATTATTATGACTTGGTGATAGAGTGTGAGAGTATCAGGTGTGCGTTACCTCGTGTTGTGAAACTTGGCGAGAGCTGCTCTTGCCGTACAGCAGGCTCGCTAAGACGACGGGTACAGTACCTCTGCGTATAACATGCGTGCACGTAATCGAATCATCACGATCTGGGAAACTTGCAATATGGTGGGCTTTCTTATTTCTAGGTAGACGAAACGACCATACTTTATCAGATAGCAGGTTCACCACGCCGCTTATAACGAAACCAAAAGCACAGCATAATGTAATATCGAGAACGTACATGTACAGTACAGATAGTAGGGCCATTAGAAAACGTTAGATTGCAGTGATAGTCGTGGCAACGCGCCTGCTAACAACCGGAGAAGTTCTCTTCAGGCCTCGACGCTTATTTTCAGATCTGGTTGTCCTGTCGGGCAACAAGAAGCAATTTTTACTTGTTCAAAATTTACTTGTGCAATCTATGAGCCGTTAATGTCCTCTTTTGGTTCAGTGCATATCATATTATCAAGAGTGTATAATATAGAGATCTATATTATATAAATAGATATATAAATATATTATACACTCGTGATATTTTTGCCAGTATTCCCTGCGTGCATATAGGCTCGCACATACCTAGGCATGTGTCTGGGCGCCCGTTTGCATGCATGCGTGCGTGCGTGTGTACGTATTACACTTACAGTATATATACCGTATTTACTTGTGTATGAACCGCGCTTTTTGTACACAACTTGAATAAAAAAAATTAGGGGGTGCGACTTATAAGTTATAGACGAGGCTAAGAAATCTTGTTAATGTACCAATGTTTGTACCAACTTTTCAATGGAAAATATTGGGGGTGAGACTTATAATATACATGAATTATACTTATACACGAGTAAATACAGTACATGTAAAATCGTAATGAAATTCACACGTTTATGTTTGCATGCTGGCACGCTCATTGTGTGTCATTACCGATTGCAGTTTTTTCCTCAATCACAGGAAATAATTTTGCTGTCGTTCTCTCATTCCAGCGATGCCCACCCCCTAAACGTATTCAGTAAAGTGAACTATATGCCCCAATTACGTATACTTGTAACCGGCTTATAAGTTATAATAACAACTTATAACCGACTTATATATACAACCGACTTATAAACAATCGTACCGCCACCCCAGTACATAAATCAATGCCGCCCCGGCCAGGTAGGTACGCATTGTCGCTCTGAATAAATCCGTAAAGGGACCTTTGAAAACGTTTGAAGTGAGAATGTGGTGCGATAGCGCCCTGGCTCAGAGGATGTTAAGAATATTAAAAACTAAACTTTTCAGTTGTCCGATCGGGCAACTAGGCAAGAGAATAACTTGTCCGACATAGACTTTCACTTGTCCCGGGAGTCTTGTACCATTAATGATTAGCCATTCTTAGATGTCGCACGATAACATAGATAGCATAACATAGATATCCATGATGTCCCACGTCAGAGGGTCTCGGGGGGGGGGAATTTTTTGTCTTCATTATTTAATCTCATCATCGTATGTCATTCGTGCGTGGAATGTGTCGACTGTCGAGAGCTGCCTTTTGGAAGAATGCCATATTCTTCCTCTTCTTCTACTTCCTCCTCATCCTCTTTTCTTCTTCTTCTTCTTCTTACAAAGTAAATAGTACATACA